TTTATTATTTATTATTTGTTCAATTACAATGAAGTAAAATGCCCAGATGAGCGTAGAACATGTCAGTGTAATAAATATACAGTTAAAAACATTTAAAAATTGAAATCAATTAAATGTGAGACATTTTAGCAGGTAAAATCTGAAGGAATAGTATCTTTAAAATATTCATCAGTTGAGTAGTATGCTCTATTTAGAAGAAAGTTTTTAAGTTCATTTTTGAGTGTTGTTTTAGAGAGGCTTCTTAGCCTTGAACTTCATAAACTACACCTCACGATTTGATCTCCACAATCTTTATTTGAGAAATAGATCAAATGTTTCGCTAACACAGTAGCTTCTTCAACCGTGATTTGCATACAAGTTGCTTCTTACACTAATATTTATATACCACGGGGGTAACTACAATTGTGACTACCTACATCAAATTACCTAAACCTCTACAATTCTTATATACCTGAGGTACCTCTTCAATTATGATTACCTGAAGCATATTACCTCACTTCTACATCAATAACAATACTTACAATAATGGTGATCTATTCAAATCTAGTTGGTCATTCATTAGAATGTTTGAATTTTTGAGTCTATTGATTTCCATTGCTTCCAAATGATTCAGTTTCGAACCTTTATTTTCTATGTGTAAAATTTGGAACTCTTCGTTAAAGATATGATTTTCTTCTGAAAGATGATTTGAATATATTGAACTTGTTTTCTTATTTACATAGCTCATATAATGTTCCTGGATTCAATTTCTAAATGTTTTGTCAGTTTGACCAATATACAGGGTGTAACCAAATAAGTGTAAAACATTCAAGGTGGTGATTCCTCATCGAAAAAAAAAGGATCTTTCATACAAAGACATTTCATTGGAGCATCCCTTGTTAAGATACAGCCCCTTAAAAGGGATACATAAAATTTGTTTAACAATTTTTTCACAATCACTAAAAAAGTTACAATATTGAAATTAACCTGACTTTTTGTACTACCAAAAAGACACTTAGCCAGAAATTTATTTGGCTTGGAAAACGCGTGGAAAACGCAACCCCTAAAATTTATTTCCAATGTAACTTTTTGTCTTATCAATTGTTTACCATTCAACAATTTATTTCCGATAGCCTGATTCATTCTAAACAAAAAATGTCTTCTGGGTTTTTTGCTCAAAATAAACCAGTTGGCAGCAAAAAATTATTTTACGAACAACTACAGAGATATATCGTTATAAATGCGTAAATATGAAACTAATCTATCTAGTAGGTCGCTATTAGCGATAGTGACAATTAAATTGGTATGACAATCACAATAGGTCAATTCTATCCATAATATTCAAAGAAAGTGAGAATTCATTTTTGGCTACATTTTAGGTGCTTTTACCACTCTGTGCGTCGTGTATACACTACATGTTGCCTCTTACAAGTACCGCCACATATAACAAAACGGGTTAACGATCTTGCGAAAAGTCCGTGTTGGGTTCATCTGTTAATCTTGCTGTTAGAAAAAAATGGGCAATTAAGTAGTCATCAGTCATTTATATTGTTGCTGAAAATGACTTTCTCTAATAACGTGTGGATTTTGGTCGGCCCAAAATTGGTCATTGTGAAAGTTCATAATAGCATCTCGTGAAAAATTTGCTTCATTTGTAAATACAACATTTGGTAAAACATTATTATTGTGAGCCATCGTATGAATCAACCACCTGCAAAACATTAATTTTGGGTGAAAATCCCGAGGCAGTAGAGCATGGACCCGATGTATGTGATATGGGTATAGGAGGCTTCTTTCAAGAACTGTTCATATGGTTTTTGGACTGACTTCCAGTTGCGGTGAATTCTTCTTTGTTCTATTCGAAGGATCTTCTTCTATCGCATCAAGTATAGCTTCTTATAGCTCAGATGTTGTTACAGTTTTTGGTCTCCCACCACCTGCATTTTTATCAAAATTTCCAGTTTCACATAATCTTGCATGTAGCGTTCAAAATGATTTTCCACATGGGATTACTCTGTCAAGATATCGGTACTGGTAAATCATTCTTTCGCATTTCCATTTGCTAATCCATGAATAAACTGCATGTCAGCGATTTGAACTGTTTATCGGGTTTTAATGCGTGTCCTGTGTTATAATTCTCACTTGGATTATTCTCACGACGCGACGTTTCGAAAAAGTATCATTTGCCATCTGTTGGTGATTTTTTTTTGTTGAGTGTTCGGAAGTCGACCGAACTTACTCGATCCACTCCCTATTATCTAGGTAAAGTGATGTTTGTTACGTGTTCGGAAGTAGACTGTCCTTACACGAGCTGCTTCCTACTATATAGTGAATTTCTCTACAACAATTCATGCAAACTTTCAATATTTAATCACGATCATTTTTGAATGTTTCATTTCATTGAGTAAATTTGTTTTGTCTGACTAATAAGAAAGTGTTTCTTCCTTATTCAGAGGAATCGGGCGAATTTCGGATATGCAGTTGGTTAGTACCTCGTCCACTAGATGGAGTGACATTTTGTTGTTCGCTCCAACTTAGGAAGAGGAATGAAATACTCTGAAAGAATTCCGATTTTCAATTATGGAATATTATTGACCACTGATGGATTGATGGCCACTATCTTGCACTGATGAGTGGCTAATAAGCCCGAAACCGGTCTGCAAGTGTGCCCGTTCCAAAATTGAAGGTTGACTTTTTCAGTTGTATTGCCAATTGCATATGCAGTAAATTTTCTGTGAAGATTCCTGCACTGACGCCTGTCGGATATAATTCAACGCCCTTCGTGGTATTAGTCAGGGGAGTAGTTGTTTTCTAATACACGTCAGTCCATTCAACCTACTGTGTAGGTATATCCGTGATTGGCTTAAACGTTCAAAGTTCATTTCTTTAGATTTGAATATAATTTTTTTCCTTTAATATTTTCATAATACAATATGCTGAAATCTGAATTTTTCATATTTTCACACAAAGAAGTAGTTCTCAACCAATAAAGGCACAAGTGCAAAACATATATCACTTTTGAAGTTGAAGGTGAAATGGGCTCAATTCTAATTTTCATGAAAGGGTCAAAAAATTCGAAGGTGATATCCTAAATGATTAACTAACCAATAGAATCTTACCGTGTCTATATCGGATTCATTTTCCTCAGTTTCATTTCTTTGTTTATCTCTAGATGACCAACGTCTTGCTATTCTCCTGAAACTGGAGGGTTTGTTCTTGAAACTGGGCCTTAAACATAGAAGCTCAATAACCGTTTCTTCTCTTTTCAAAGACCTCTTTTGATGTATGGTTTTGTTAGATGGTTCTTGTTGTATAATTGATGTACCTGGTTTTATGTTTCCTAACCTAACCTCTACCATTTCTTCTTCACTATCTACGTGTTCCATTTGCATTTGAGTTCTCGGTAGATCTGTGTGCCACACCTGAATGAAATGAGAAAAATTGGCTATTAGATGATCTAGTTGAAGGTAATTTCAATAAACTGAAACAAATTCTGCTTTGTTTCAGAATTGTATTATTCATTTGGTAGATAGTCGAAATGAAATATCCACATGGTTGTGAACACTATCATTTTTTAATTATCTTGCTAGACTCTCAAAAAAATATAATGTTTATTTTCTACAGGCAGCGTGGAATTTGTTTTTATACCTCTTGATTACTATATGAAGAATACATGAATACATCCCCTTATGAAAGGAGTTTAATCATTGGTACTGCTTGCATTTCAGAAGTGCATGGGTCATATTCATCTCCGTATGGGTATGAATTTGTTGTTCATTATTTCGATTTGAGAAAATATATTGACTATATTATCATTCTATAGTAAATATCAGGTTTGGTGGATGGTAAAATGAAATCATGAATTTGAAATTTCAAATTTTGATTCATAAAATCTTTGAGCATTAATAAAACATAGAGTAGCAGACACTTTTGAAGTTTGAGTCTGAAGTTGTCTGTCATATTTGATATTGTTGTCGCAAGTCTTTCAAATTCGATTTCTCAAATGACAAATAACATAGGAAAATATACCAGATTTTTATGATATTACCTATATTAACTTCGTTTTCGATGCAATATTTTTTTGAGAAATTGATACATAATTGGACTAACGTTTTTGTTTCGATAGATTCAAAAATATTTATTTATTTTTGGGAAATGAAGTTTTTGGCATTCTACTACTCCATTCTGACACAAAAAATGTATAGAGTTACTTCTTTCAGAGTTGATTGCTTCATTTTTTTTCTTTGAAAGATTCCCACATTTTTTTTGTATCAAAATGGAGTAGTAGACAGCTTGAAACCTTCTTTCCCAAAAATTAGTAACTCCTGAAAATATAACACTCTCAATTTAAACAGGATTTCTTTGACTGGGATTTAATCATTAAACGAATGAATGTCATTACGATTTCATCGATTGAATGACTAGATCAAATTCATTCCGTGGCATAAAGCCGTAATTTATGAATTGAGTGCTTCATCTCATAATGTTATCCAGATTGGTACTGAAGAGCCCCAAGGCAAGTGTCTTATGGCGAACCATCGATGTCTACCAGTGAGGATGACAGTGTTCCATGTAAGTGACATTTTTTCTTTTCGTTTAGTTTGTTGTGTAGAAATCCGGTGAATGTTATCTGATTCATTTCCATAACGAATGTTTGGAATACAAACTGAGTAGAGAAAAGTGTTTTTTGTATAATTCAATGTTCACATAAAAGTATTTGTTTCGAAAGAATGTTTCTTTCGTGTAATTCAATGTTTATATGAAAGTAGCTGTTTCGGGAGGGCTTTTTCTTTCAGTTCGTTACTTCTTTGCATGATCTACAAATCTATGTGTAGTTTCATCTTTCAAAATTATTTGCTTCTTTCCGTTCTTTGGAAGATTCCTCCATTTTTTGTATCAAGATGAAGTAGTAGAAAGCTAAAAACTTTTTTCCCGAAAATTAGTAACTCCTAAAAATATAACCGTTTTAATTCATTTATTCATATAACTTCATATCAAATACTTAAATTACAACTGCAAAACAGAATGATATTGAAACAAACAGCAAATGACAAGACGGTTTGCTAACTCAACCGTGGACTACCGCTCAGGATGATGGACATACTCCCTTTAGCTGTGAAGGAAAAATTCTTTTCTCCACCTTTATGGGAGCAGATGTACTAGTGACGATTTTCATTGTGTTAACTCTAGATATGTAATCCAGAAGCTACATTGATGAATATCTTTTGAAAAAGTATGTTTTTCCGTTAACCAGTTGTTGTAAGTCAACTCTTGGAAGTCAAAAGTTATACGGGCTAGAAATTAACGAGGTCTTTCGTTTTAACATGTGATTTTCAGCACGGGTCGAACAATGAGTAGTCAAAATTCAAAATCCTACAGACTCACTCGAACTTATCTTCGCATCGCGATTGTGTGAATACTTATGACGAAACAGTCACGCTAAACAACTGGCTACAGAAAGACCGAGAGATAGATCATACAATTCTGAATCTTTTGGAAAATAATTTTACTGGAAACGATCTCCGCCCATTGTGAACAAACCAGATACACGTTCAAAATTTATTCATGTATGCCTTTTACTTCCTGCAGGTAACCATGAAGAATATGCGTAGGCTGTTCAAAAAATGAATTGAATGTTCAGATTTCGCGGACTAGGTACATTCGATCAGCAATTTTTTAAATGATTTTATGTTGGTATACTTGTCTCAGACATATGTTCACAGTTTTAACTGTTGAGCATGTTTAGTTTGTTGGTGAGAGGCATAAAAGGTCAAGGAATTTGCATCACATTTTGTGTAAAAAATGGAATTAAATGTGATCATGCTTCTGCCACCTTATTCACCAGATGTGGCCCCCTGCGATTTATTGCTGTTCCCAAGATTGAAGAGACCCATGGAAAGACGGTGTTTTGCGGCGATTGAGGAAATAGAAACCGAATCGCAGAGAGAGTTCAAAGACTTACCAAAAAGTGCAAATCAGAACATCTTTGAGGATTGGAAAAAACGCTGTGTATTTTATCTGAGGGGGACTACATTGGAGGGGACAAAATAAAAATCGATTAATAAATAAATATTTTCGGAGACAAATGAAAATTCACCTTATTTTTTGAACAGAGTAGTATCCTCAACTCTCAGATCTTACAGGACAGAAACAACGCATTACGTTGAATTTCTCATGATTCCCCTGACATCGAATTCTCACTATGTCGAAATCGATCTTTTCTACTAACGTCACCAATATACGAACATGTTCCTTCAACCAATATTTTGCGGTAAAGTTTAATTCACAAGTACCATTTCACATAATTCCAATTCCTCTTCATCAAAAATTGAGATTCATGTGTAATTTCACACAGAGTCATTTACAGTTCGAGTTGAGTTGCGCTGACAAATAATTGAAAAGTTATTAGCAATTCAGGTAAACAAAGAAGAGAGGTTCGTTTTTCTGTGAATATCTCAAAAACTATTGTAGATATTCAAAATTGAAAAAAAGGTCTTGGATAACACAATAATTAACAAAAGAATTGTTTCTTTACAAAACTATTGCATCAAGATTCATAGTTTCATTAAGTGGAGCTGGAAGCTCTTGGCTGCTACTGAGCAACGTCAAAATTGGTATCAAATTGCCAAAAACGACTCCCCTCAATAAGAAGATTCAACATATTGTCTCTGGTCTAGATTCCTGGCTAAACTGCAAAGGCATCACTGTCATTGGCATCACTTTAGACTTTGCCTAACAAAGATTGAACACCTGGATGGCAAAAAGATTTATGGATTGCTGGCAGAATCTTCCAGGATTAGCTCGCTCCAAGGCGTTTATTCACCCTTCGAAGCTTGATACCAAACAGTTGTTGGACTACAGTAGGGATGAACTACGATGTCCAACAGGCTTTCTTACAAGTCACTGTCATTTGAATCATCATATGCAGAGACTCGGACTGTCGGAAGACAGTGTGTATCGCCTCTGTTTTGAAAATGATGAAACATACTTTGTGCCTGCCCCGCTAGGGACCGTATCAGATTTTTAGAGTTCGGCAGTGCCGTACTCTTACCATCTGACCTGAAAGACACTCAACATACAAACTAATCGGCTTCGTTAGGAAGCTGTGTTTATTTCGTCGAGTGTGGACCTAATCTAACCTATGTGGAGAAATTACGGGTGGACTCTAATCATGGGTACCCGATTGGGTCGCATCAAAAATAAAACATATTTGATTCTATAAAATATAAATATATAACAATAAAAATAAAAATAGGAATTTGGAGGGTAGTTGAACGAGCAATATTTTTCCAGCAAAAAATGTATTGCAGTTTTCCTCTTAATTATGCTCAGTGGCGTTGCAACGTTGATTTACTAGTCAAGTTTATTTCATCAAGTACTCTTTTCTTGGTTCTTCACATATTGTTTTCACTCGAGGACCGCCTACTTGGTACTGATGAAGCCCAACAGGTTGAAACAGCTATCTACCGGTGGCTCTTACGTTGAAATCAAATTGGGAATGATCAGAATAGTACTTATCTATTCAACTTTCAATTTTTATGGAATTATTTTTCAGCAGCTTGACTGCATTAACCATTCTTAGTTTTATATCATTTCTAGTAACATATGGAAGTTTTCTGATGCCGTTTCAGAAAAGCTTCTCAAATTTCCACTAACGCAGTTGTCGGTTTTAAAGATTGGTCAAATCACCAACGCCGACATAAAAACTTGGCTAGCTAACTTGGGTGTCACACCAATAGGTGGTTCCATTTATATCTCGCTTGCGTTAACGCGGTTATTTCCATCAAGTACTCGTCTTGGATCTCTACAGTTTGTCCTCAATCGAGAATGAAAACCCACACGTTACGCCACTGATATTCTTTCATTAACTAATATTTTTTTTTTCAAAATTGACGGTTTACATGAAAACCTTGATAACTCTTCAACCAATAGCCTGTTCATTTTTATTATTTGTTACTATTCTTTTAAGACTGAATTAGAAAAGATCCTCACCAAAAAAAAGTCGAAATTTTTTTTTTCATTCATTCATGAACAGAGATGACGAAAAGTTGAGAACTCAAATGAATCATTGAACAAAGACCTGACGTTTCGTCTAGTACTGCGAATGTCATTATCAAAGGCGATGTGGTAATGGTCGGAATGCCCGAGTTGTTGCTCAAGTTGTTGTTTCCGTCGTTTTGACCGCATTAACTATCGTATTTTAGTTAAATTATCATCAGTGGCTTGGTTTCTCTAAATAAGATTATGTGATTTTGTTTGTGTACCTGTGAGGACAGGTACCCATATTTTATTGATGTTCATCGTCTCTTCTTTTCTATTGAAATTATCCGGCTTTTTTCAATTTCTATTGCCTGTCTATATACTTTTGGATAGTATTTTTGAGTTTCATCGAATATTACTGTATCTCCAAATGAGATAATTTGCGAGCGTTCTATGTTGCCTTCTTTCAAAGAAGGCACTCATGTTATCTCTTTCAAAGATACAGTAACACTCGATAAAACTCAAAATTACTATCCAAGAGTATATAAAAAGGTAATAGAAATTCAAACACACAGAAATACTTTCAATAGAAAAAAGAGACAATGAACATCAATAACATCTGGCTACCTCTCCTCAATTGCACACAAACAAAGTAAGGTAATCTAATTAAGAGAAACCAAGCCACGCCCACTAATGATAATTTTTGTTTTAGTTTTCATTTTCATGGTTTGAAAAACAATTATAAACGAATGCATTGTTTGTGAGATATTTTTTCAGACAAAATCATTGATGTAAATAATGTTTTTTAAGCAAAATCGTTTCCAAATTTTTTCCAATAGTAGAAAATTAATGTATTTGCCAGAGTATTACTACTAACCTAGTACCTATTTTTCTTATTATTCTTTGAAATTCATAATGAATGAGTTGAAATATTTTTTTGTTGAAACAACCGAATCGCTCAAGTGAAAGTGTAAATGTTGGAGGTGTAGGTAGGAATTTTTTTCAGTTAATTTTCTGCTCTTCAAAGATCTCTTTACAGTTGAAACGGGTATACTTTTGGGAAAAACAGCTACTTTCATATAAAAATTGAATTACACGATAGAAAAGTGCTCTTGAAACAACTACTTTTATATGAACACTGAGTTATACAAAAAAGCTTTTCTCTATTCATTTCGTATTCCAAACATTCGTACGGAATTGAATCAGATTTAAATCGCAGAATTGCTACACAATATAGTAAATGAAAGAGGTAAAGTTTCACTTCGTGGAAAACTGTCATCCTCAATGGCGGACATCGATGTTTCTGTGCAAGACACTTGCCTTATCGCTTCTTCAGCATCAAATCTGGATAACATTACAAGATACACATTCATAAAATTACGAACTTTTTTTGTTCATATTGTTTTCGGAACCGTAAATCACTGTAGCTGAAATTACGACACCTCATTTTTCTTGAACTGAAGTTATTTCAAATGGCATTTGCGACCTAGACTAGTAATGAAGACTTAAATTCAATGTGGTGAGAGTTCGACTAATGGTAGGCAACCAATCTTACCTTTCGATTGTTTTCCCTCTTCTTCTTCAATTGAAAGCAACATATCTTCCGAAGCTCCTTCTTGAACTTAGGATGAGACAAGGCGTACACGTATGGATTTATGCAACTAGCCGCCTTACAGAAGATTGCTGGAATCATCGAAGTCAAAGGAGTTATTATCTGTTTCTGATCTGAAATTCCCAACAGTGCCACTACTGCATAGGGTGTCCATGAGAAAAACCACATCATGATGGTGGATAAAACAACCAATGCAAGTTTTATTTCCTGTTTCTTATTGTCTTCTTCCTTAACGTGTCTGAAGGAGTCTCTTCCTCTCTTCTGTGAAATGGTCCTACCAGCGACTACCTTCATGATGTTGAAATAACTGAATGATATCAAAATGAATGGTACGACCCAAGCTGCCACGAAGAAGACTAATATGAAAACTTTTATTTTAGGATCATCTGTCAGGTAGTCGAAGCTGCAACTTGTTAAGTATCCCTCGTAGGCATATTTCCCCAGTCCTATGTCTAGAGCTGGTATAATGGCAAAAACTGAACCATACATCCAAGCCACCACAAGACTTATTTTTATTCTCACTTCTGAAAGACTTCGTTTCAAAGGAAATTTTATGACAAAATATCTGTCGAATGAGATGACACTCAATGTGATTATGGAAAGTGTTCCAGTAAGACCACCCAAGAAACCGTAAAGCCGACATGCTGAAAATAACACAAATAGATATAATAAATGACTAACAAATATTTCTTACTAAATGATGTTAAGAGAGTGCAATATGAGTGTAACCTTTCACGTCACGAAAATAACCGTGTTAAAGACATTTTCCGGGTTTGTTTTCCATAATCTACAGATTTTATGCCTGACTTACTTACATCTATGACTACGGCGAACATAATCATAGGCGATTTGGCAACGGACGAAGTGTTCTAGTTGTCCTCAAAGCAAATACCATAGTTTTGATTTGGTTCCCCAGTTTAGTTCATATGAAATGTGCGTGGCTTCGTTTCTATTGGTTAAATTGAATAGCCTGTTCCGTGAGAAATCCACCGCGGGTAGTAACATTTTATTAATTTTCTCTTTTTTTCGGTCAAGATTTTTTATGTGAAACATCTATAGCCGCACATAAAACCAATTGCTATTCATTTTTGAACATTCTGAAAAATTGAGTTTCAAACTTTTTTTTTATCAATGTAACACATCATATTCATGATTTAACTCATATCTACTAAATAATGGGTTGCAAATGTAGAAATGGTCTTTTAATTCAAGAAACTACTTCTATGCTCTTTGATTCTTTGAGAAAAAGTTCAATATGAAGTTTTGAGCAAGAGCCATCAACTTGTATACTCCTGATCTATCCAACACTGAAGTTGTGTCTTTATTGGTTTCAATAAATTCACTGAAAATATTATTCGTTCTGTAAGCCACGTCTTAGCATTCTTTTTTCGAAAAACGAGCGATATTATTGGTGGGTTCACCAAAATATGAAAATGTCCTGTAACGGACGTTATCGTTTCTTGAATTTGGGTAGACCTGGTCCATGGCTTGTTTTTGTAGTTTTTTGGAAGAAATGGAATCAATAATAATTTCCTTATAACCGTTGTTGACCGCGATTTGTTTGATGATACTCATCTCTCTCTGGAAATTACTTTCCGACAGTGGAATATTCAATAGTATGTGACGCATAATTACTACATGGATAATGTTATATTTAGAATGTATGTTTTTATCATTTCCTCTTCATATAGATTTTATATTCAGTTTATGTAATGTCTGATAATTTTTTTAGTTAAATCAAGGTTGTTAGTGAGGAGATTTTGATTGGAGTTTTCAATTAAATAGAATTCAAAAACGTCAGTAAGACTATTTGATTATAACATTATATCCATCCCATATTTAAAAGATAATACAGGAAATGAAATCCATAATAATCAGTTAACTAACAGTTTCTTGTACTGGTACAGATACGTAGATGATATCTTAGTCTGTTTTGGTACAGCTAAGCAATTAGGTAATGTTGTCAAATATGCCAATTCCATTCACCCGTCAATAAAATTCACCACTGAAAGGGAGGTAAATAATTCAATAAATTATCATGAGTTGGCCATTACGAAAATTATTAGTAAACATGATTTTGCAATTTTCCACTAACCATCTTATACAGACATTGTCATATATAATTCCTCCACATACCCTTACCAGCATAAAGTAGCTGAATTCAATAGTATGCTTCACCAATTCGAAGATCAATTCCACATTTGCGAACCATCTTTTGAGGCAGTGTTTTTCAAACTTATCGAATTCACGGCTCACGGAAAACAATTATATTAAGCAAAAAAACTTAAATTACAATGAAATAAAATACAACCAACAATTGAAAATTGAACAATTAACAAGAAATTAATATTAAAATGAAAAGATTTCAAGTCAAGTTACTTCACGACGTTTCGATTGTTAGTATCCACAATCGTCTTCGACTTATTTCTCCGAGAGTGTTTCACCTATCCCCTCCTCCCCCTTTCCGCTTCATCGGTTTTAGCGGTTTTGCGAGAAATTGTCAGAACCAGTGGTTCTCCCTGCGGATGATCTCAGCTTGGGACCACTTTATGTTATGTTAATGATTCCAAACATGCTCTGCTATTCCTGATTTGCTGGTTTCTCCTCGCTGTGTGTGTATCTTGTGCTCGGCAATGCGAACTTTCAATGGCCTCTTAGTAAATGCAATTCTTAGAATCTTTCAATTTTTTGAATCCTCATTTCATTGTAATTTCAGTTTTTTTGCTTAATATGGTTGTTTTTTTCAACTAATCTTTTTAATTTTGTTGATTTTTTCAGGGATTTCAATTAATTCAGGCAATGGAAGTCCGAACTAATGAAATGCACCATGAAACATTGTCAACCACCTTCAAACAAAAACAATTTTCAAATAATTAGGTTCTTCGGGTAGCTTCACAGATAAGCATCGACAGGGTTCTGAAGATACAAGACCAGAAATCAATATTATGGCCAACAAAAATCATTATAGAGAGAATGATGTCAGTGAACCTGAAAGTCTACTCGAAAAACTCAATCATTCAAACCTTGCTTTCGAAGGAAATAATGTAACGGACTAGATCGGGACAGGTCTGGAAAAACATAACTTGATATTGATATTCAGGCCAACCAAAATCAAAGCAAGGGTATATAGTTTGAAACCCCACTGAGCCTTCAGCAAAATTGAAGGTTTACCGAATCCCTCATAGCTGTGGATCGGTCTACATTGGAATCCCGAAAGTAAATGTATGCACTCAGCTTGCTGGATATACTGGGTTTACTGAATCCCTTGTAGCTGTGTATCGTCTACATTGGAACTATTGGAGGTATGAGTATCCGACTTTTTGAACAAAGAAATTAGAAAGACCTGAGTATTTACTTTCCAAAACTATATAGGAAGGCAATAAAAATTCAGAAACACAGAAACAATTTTAATCGAAGAGAAAAGAGGGAATTAACATTGATCAAATCTGGCTACCACACTCAATTGCGCACGTAATAGGTCACTTAATTCAACCAATAGAAACGAAGGCTTGGCTCACCACCAATGACATTAAATCGGATAAGTAAACCATTACTGTAAAGTCTGGTATTAGGGAAACTTCAATTCTTTGTATGTTGCCTCATGACTTTTGATAGCATCTATCTACCGTAGTCGTAGACGAAACATCCGCCAACGAACCAGGAAAAAGAGAGCCAAAAATACAAAATTTTAATTTTCCTGTGAAGACCACCACTGCTCTTCAGAATTGTTCATAATGAACAAGAGGAGAAATTATATTGCAAGATACTTTTTGTAACCCTTTGGAAAAAGTTTTTTCAATAGTTCTTGTCAAAAAAGATTGTGAATGAGGTACTTGGTTCATTGCGAAACAAGAGCTCTGCTCTTATTGCCAAATCACTTTGTTCACATAGGTTGTTTCAATTATACGCTAATTTGTATACGTTGTGAATAAAATTATATTTTTTTTTTCACCGTAGT